TCTGTAAGGGTAATTCTGGAAATATTGAAACCTTGTACAAAAAAATAATTTTTGATATGATGTATCTTCAACTTGTAATTTTTTATTATGATGTATCTTCAACTCACACGTTAGTTTATGTTGATTTTAAATAAAATTTAGGTCTTTTAATTTGATTTCTCACTATTTTTACACCAGAAAATTTACTCAGTACTAATTGGACGCGAACTCGAGAACTGCATATACTTTCAGGTTTCTAGTGTATCACTTTAGCTGCTGCGCTACTTCTTCAACTGATACTAAGTGTTTCTTATTGTTCCCATATGCAACCAAAGCAGTAATTTTTATTTTTTTATAATATTATTTAGTACAACTACAAAAATAAATTATTTAATCCAAATATTTTATATAATAAAAGAAAAGTCAAAGATATTCTGTCGACATTTGACCTCTTCTCGTGCCATGGATAGATTGTTAAAAAAAATTTGTGATATCATAATCTTTTTTTAAAAATAATATTTTATGCTTGTTTTTTGCAATTTAATGTTAAATAATTAGCCGCATTTTCATGGAAATGACAACTGAAAACATTCAATACGGTCAGAATAAATTTATAGCGTCCTAATGAACAGTTTTTCGACGATAAGTCTTCCACAGAACGCCAATTTGTGAAATCTTTTCCACAAGAAGAATTCTACCGAAATTTCACTATAACCCGTTACCGCGCTTCGTTTTTCGGCGAGCCACCCTTATAGAAATATCATACTAAGAATCATTGATAATTACTTATTTTCAGTATTAAAAATACTAGATAATAAGTAATTATCAATGATTCTTAGTATGATATTTCTATAAGGACAGACGGTAGGACGGAATTCTGAAAAGTAGTGGTGAAATCTTGATTGCTGAGAAATATTGTAAAAATATTTGCAAGATTTTATACGAAGACATAGAAACGGTGTAAATATTTTTTATGTATCATGTATTTGAAATATTTTGGGCATACGCTAATAAAAAAACATACGAGTATTTAAAAATCCCATAAGATACTTTATAGAAAATTATAGAAATCTTATATATTTATGAATAAATTTTTACTAGGATATCTATATAAGATATAGTTTTTCTCCAAACAGTTGATTTAGATTGATTTAAAAAAAAATTTAAGTAATAATATATCGTGGTTTAAAATAGAGCAGTTTCTATAAAATTTTTTTATAAATATATATACAAATATTTTGAATAATTTCTATAATGTCTCACATATATAATGAACTGGACATATATATACACAACACACACGCACATGCACACACAAACGCACACGCACATTATAACAGAATTATTATTCATTTTAATTACTTGTGCTCATTATTATTATTAGTATAATCTTACAAAAAGCACTCAATTGTGGGTGTAAACACCCAAAAATTGGAGATAAACACCTAAATTTGAATGTTAACTAACTGACTTCTTCAAGTTAAGAAATCTTCGAATATACATACAATGGAAATTTGTACAATAGGTAATGTTTCAAGTAAAATATTTCTAGATTCTTCCATTTGAGATATTCTGATATATTTCTCGCGACAGATTTTCAGAATATTTCAAGAACTTCGCAAATAATAATGTTTCAAATAGAATATTTGTATAATGTTCTATTTCAGATATTTCTGAGATATTTTCAACGATAGATCTCCAGAATATTTCAGAAACATCGCAAATGTAATGTTTCAAATGGAATATTCTTAAAATTATCTCATATTAAATATTCTATTTCAAATATCTGTACAATATCCCAAGAATATCTCAAATGTAATATTTTAAAAATGATATTTGTAATATTCTGGAGACATTGCTGAGATGTTTTGTGCTGTGTGGGTTATATATTGCTTCAGTATAAAAGTAAAAAATGCAACTTAGCTCAATAAAAAAAGAAACAGATCTATAGCATATTATTATCGTCACACAGTCATTTCTGAAACAATCCAAGTAGGAATCATACGTTTCGCTAGTACGGAAAAATGGTCCGATACTGGGTCGATACCGAAAAGCGTATATCCGGTTTTGATACTGGCTCAGTATTAAGATTAGGTACT